CAGAAAAAAAAACAACAATAAATGTATTCAAAAGTAACCTCAAGAAGTTTACTAATTATTATTTACAATTCGCTGGTTGAATATGTAAACCAGCATTATATCCTACCTCTCTTTTATATAATAAAAAAGTGCTTTGTATAAGAACATTATAATATCTGTCTCGCTGCACATTTATTTATGGAAAGCCTTAATTGAGATACACTACAAATTATTTGAAATAAATATCAAAAGCATAAATTTTTAAATAATTTTACATTTAAGAGCCATTCCCACATCACAGTTGACATCTTGATACCTGACAGGCACAGCCAAGCATTATTCTGATTTTTGCCAAATAAAATGACCGGTTAATTATTGGGGTTGCCAATAAATTTGATGAATGTGTTTTTGTAGCTAGGGGCGAAATAGTAGTACGCTTAAGTTAGCACCACCATAAAAAAAGTAATTTTTAAGAAACTGCTTATATATTTTTCATAATTGGCAGGCTTGGCGACTAATTTTGAATAAAAATAGCCTCCAAAATGGCTATAGTTGCAAATATGAAGGTCGCAACCCGCCTTAGAAATTTCACTTTTACTATCAACAGCTGTTGTTTGACAGGTCGTTAGAGAATGTTTGCAATTTATGGAATGTAAAGAATGTTAGGGATGTTGACGTTAGAAATAATTGGAATTCCTAAAATTGTCACATAAGAAATGCATAAGCGGATTTTAAGAAAATTGATATTAAAGTACTTAGAATGAACCGAAAATTCTGAAAATCAATAGGGTTCTAAGTTAGAAGAAATTATTCAAGAAGATCAAAAACTGCAAGTCAATTAGAACTTTCGTTCTAGAGTTATTGTGCCGCCATACATATACACAGACGACCAGACGAAAATTTTTTTTGCATTTTCGGACTCGGAATGATCGGAAACATAAAAAAGAGTTTTAAAAATGGGGGTAAGAAAATGTTTTCGTCTGCACGAATGCAATACTGAGGCCCCATAGGAAGGGCCTTAGTAATTATTTAAAAATGAAATAAATTATTTTATCAAAAAAACTAAATAAATCACATTATAATAAAAAAACAATAAAAATCATAGAATTTGAGGGTGTGCTTTGGCGTTAAACGTGTTAAGTTTTTAGGATGTAATAAGGTGCCCAATTCAAAAATGTATTTATATACTTGCTGGATGTTACAAGAATAGCAATTTTCTTGTAGAAATGGTATACTGTGACGTAACAACTGGATGTCACAAGATGCAAGGTTTTTCTGGATGTCACAAAGTGTTGTTAATAAAAATATATACCGTGTATACTTTGGATCTCACAACGATAGGACGTTTTATTTTTTTAAAATGTGTATGGTTGTGATATTTTTCGCTCAGTGATAATATTTTTTAAATTAAAAGAAGTCATATTTTTATTTTTTTCCTAAAGTCTTTGTAAAGGGTGGATGTCACAAAGTCAAAATTTTTGCTGGATGTCACATGATACGCTGGTCGAGTATATATATATATATATATATATATATATATATATATATATATATATATATATATATATATATATATATATATATATATATATATATATATATATATATATATATATATATATATATTATTATTTTCTTAATAATAATTAAACAAGTAAATTTATTATCTACAAAGTTATTTTTACGGAAGAAACTATGTAATTAATTTCACATATTTATTTGTTTACAGTACGCTACGGATACATAAAGTTCTAAATGGTTAAAATATCAAAATAAAATAAAAAAGAAATTAATAAAATTGTCACAGTATAAAAATGAAGTCAATAGTGTAATAAAAGTTGACACTTTAAAAAATAAACCTTTTAAAATGTCATAATTTGAAAAATACTTATTGTAATTGGACATCAGTTGGTCTACAAATAAATTCTGTCCATAGTTAGTTCTATGAGCATTTACATAAAATAGTTTCATATGCCTAGTAAGTCTGGCAGGAACAAGGAATCTAATAAAGTGTACCAGGCTGTCACTATCAATCAAACCGTTCAATAACTTATACAGGAAAACAAATGATGCTTCTCGACATCTGCATTCCAAACTCTTATAGGTCCCTCTCAAAAATAACATCAAGATCATTTATAGTTTACTCAAAACTTAGTTCAGAACCTGCAATTACAATCATGCATAATGATATTAGCTGTTTTATTAAACCTTATGACTTTACATTTATCAATATTCAGTTTAAGCAAGTTATATCATATTAAAACTATGATTAGTACCAGTTGTAGGCAAATATCTTTTTTTAGCATCCTACAACTGCCATCTTAATAAAAATCTAGTGAACTTTGAAATATACCTTATATAAATACACTTTTTACTACTTTTGTACAATCGTGCACCATTTTAGCTACCAGTGAACCTTTGCAATATAGGTACCTTATACTCTTTCGTGCAAGCGTTCAGTGTTTTCGATTCTAGTGAACCTTTGAGATATTCCTTATATACCCTTTATACCTACTTTTGTCCAATTTGTCAGTGTTTTTTTTACCTATATTATTAATACCTACCTCTACTTGTATAATATTGGTTCTTGATTTCAAAAGCTTTTTAATAATAAATTTATACAATTTTTTATTTTGTTTTCTTCAGATTTTACTATATCCTCAATATACTATTTTGAATATAGTGTATCCAAGGATGGATATAACTATACTTGTAAAGATATTTATTTTAAATTTTTCAAGAGGTCTTTTTCATAATTTCTCACCGTTAATCGTATTTATTTAACAAGCAAAAGAAATTATGAAGAAGTACTTTTAAATTTAAAATAAATATTTTTACAAGTATTGTTAAGTCCATCCGTGGACACACTGTATAATGCTGTAGAATTAATTCACATTATAACATCTATAGAAAGTTTCAGAGCAACTTTCGGGGTAAGTACCGTAAAAGTGCTAGTGTGATGTTTTCCGAACTTAATTTTGTAACCTCTGTGAGATGTGCTATAAAAGTCTTGCCGTTGCGGACATTCGGTGGTTGCAGGGATGATAGGGTTACATTAACAGTACATTGCATGCGAGCTTAAAGAGCCTAAAATTGTAGCTTATTAACGTAGATGGGATGTTTTTGTGCTAGCTGGGGGTAATCGTAAAACTATAACACATAAAGTGTGTACTGTATTTATCAAGAAAACAAATGATAGTGTACTAATTACGGACGCTAGGGGTAAAATCAAGTAAAATGCTGTTACTTATTAAAATATTAATTACCCATAATAATATATAACCCACGAAGAGCTCTTGGTGAAGTGTTTCGGGTTTAATAAACTGTACTGTGAACCATAAACCCCTAAGCCTCGTTTACATTAGGTTTAGATAAAATATATACTAATAACACCCCCCAATAAAATAGATTAAATAGTAATAAATGATAAATAAAAAAAAGATAGCAAAACTTGCGATACACGGTGACTTCTTCCAGTAGACGTTGATATCTCTGCCTCGTTAGCAGCCTACGAATCAATCAGCTGTCACAAGAAGTGTGACCCGTCACAAGAAGTATCAGCCTGTCACAAGAATACTGGCTCGTACCAAGAATACTGCCTGTCACAAGAAGTGTCAGCCTGTCACAAGAAGTGTGTGTGTCCGCCACAAGAACCCTAAAGAAAACGTATAAGATAAAACACAGTAATAACTATTTATCCCTGGTTAATAAGAAGTTAAAATTAAATAACCAGGTACCTACATAGCCTTCTCGTGAAGCGAGATCTAGAAATAGATAAAACTACTCAACGTTTACTAGTTAATTAAAGTTCGGCTTATCAATTTATGTAGGTAATCTTCAGATTTACAAAGCAAAAGATAGACGGCTCGTGAAGCGAGTTCTACCCAACAATTACACTTAATAGGTAAATTACACCCTTAGATTTCAAGATACTACCCCTAATAGTCAACCCCAAATACTGAAAATATATACAATGAAAAGAACATAACCTAGGGTTAGGTCTAAGTAAGCATTCTAACTAAAATCAAAGCATAATTACCCTTTTTAATCCGCAAAGGGGAACACGATGCACCGACCAGATCAATTGAATGACAAATTTGTGGACGGCTTATTCAGAGAGACTACGTATATATGTGCACACTAAAATAAAAGAACGAAGGTCTTACAATAAGAATAACTACGTCGTAACTTTGAATATTATGTAGAAAAAAAACTTACTAATCAACACGTGTTTTAAATATATCCTCCTAGGAGCTCCTACATGTGGAAACCAAAAATACTATCAAATCCACACTGTTGTAACTTAACACAAAAGGTTGCTTCGCAATATCCAAAATGGATTGAAACGACTTCCAATAAATTTCGAAACAATCTTTCAAATTAAAAACCTCGTGTCGAATAACCGTCTAGATCAGTGTTGTCAGAACTATTTGATAAAAAGTAACAGATTGATGGTTTAAAAGGTAATAGATTTCAGAGAATAGTAAAAATGATTGACAGTTGACATCCGTAGCCTTGAAATGAACAAAATAGAGATAGCCAAATATCGATGTGGCTATAGTTTTCTAAAGAACTATCGATATAATTAACCTATAAATATGACAAAAAAGAAGAAAATTAAAAAATGGGGCTTTCACTTTTCCAGGGTATATCAAAAATAAATAAAAACAATTAAAAATTGCACTTTTTAATCCAATTTATTGCAACTTTAAATATTTAAAGAGGTAACAGACCAAAGGTCTTGATAAACATGGCTCCCCATTTTTGAATAATTTGAACTTCACTATCGTTTTATAGTTAATGTTAATAGTTTAGTATTTATATTAAATCAAAAAACAAATTTTGTATTTTTTATTATTTATTTATGAGAAACACAAAGTAACAAAATACTGTGATAAAAATAATAAACTAATGCTAGAAGCCGCTAAAAATAAGGAACGTAAGCGTAATACATTGGTGCAATATCACAAAACTTTTTGGTATCTAACTACTTAAATTTTAAATAGTTATATAGATTCTACCTCTAATTAAAAATTTTAATCAGTCAACAGAGCTATCGACTAACATTAACAAATATCTATGTAAGTATATTACATAAATAATATACAGAACAATAAACTTTTAATAAATAAATAAACAGTAGTTGGGTAATGAAAAGTCATTATTCCACTATTCCAGAGTAGTCAATTTTCCTTTTTAATAAAGACACCGAAGGTTCCCAACTATAACATGGTTGCTCACTTAATAATTCTTTTACATGTAAAATGCTATCTAAGGTCTCTATTTCTAATCTATTTCTACATTTTGTTTTTAAAAGTGTAACTTGTGAAAACATTCGTTCGGCAGCGGCTGATGAATGGGGAAGCGAAAGTAACCCTTCTACTAATTTTTTTAGACTTGGAAACATTTGCTCATTAAGTTCGTTTTTCATGGAAAATATCTTTGACCAAAAAATTTCAGGATCAGTTAGGTCAATATTTTTAATCTCACTTAGTTCAGCCAACATCCTCCATTCAGTATTTAAAGTTTCAATATCATTAACTAAATCTGGAAAATATTTGTTAGCAGGAATTACAATGCTTCCTACTTTCCCAGATACAGCCACTTCCGGATTTAAAATTTTAAAAAAATCTAACACGGGATCACCAAAATTAAATCTTTTTTTAATTTGAATTGACAACTCTATATAGAAGTCTAGGGCTCTTAATCTAAAATTATGAAGTTCGCTCTTGTCAGATTCATCCTGGTCCATTAATAGTTCAGTTTTTGCACCAAAATATATTGTTTCAAGTGGTAAAAAGTTGGATGGATTACTGACTTCCACGTCTTTTAAATTAGTTTTATCGATGTATTCTTTTTTTAAAAAATTTCTTAAAATTATTCGATACAGATCGCTTACCCTTGTTGTTAAGTTATAAAGTTTTGGTTTCTCTGACTGGAATTCTATATTTAATTTATTGATTATGTCTAAAATGTAGGAAAGAAAAGTAAAATACATTTTATATGTCGGGTGTTCAAATGATTTCAAAATTAATTTGGTGGAATTTAGGTCCTCTTCAAAACATTCATTTCTAAAGTATAATGTTAACGCATCCCAGTTTTCCAAAGTCCTGTCAACAGCAGCCTAAAAATTACATTGGTAATGGTAAAAAGCTTTATTGAAACCAATATAGTAGCACAATTACCACTAAATCAAAAAGAAAATAACATACGGTAATTAAACAAAATATTTTTCAAAAATACCTTTGCCTATGAATAATGTTTTAAAAAATAGAATATACCTACCTATATTCAACTTAATATATTTTTAAATTTTACTTCAAAATTAATTTTTTTTTTAAATTAAACTAAATACTTTATTCATACACAATTGGCCTCTACACTATATCAAAATATTTATTATTTACTTGTAGTGAAAGCCATCTTGTTTGGGATGGATGAAGCATTTTATGTGGCTTTAAATTGACGAATTTTTGAAATTCTGTTAGTGCTTCTTGTCGCTTGCTACTGTGTGCAAAATAGGTGTAGACTGACCTAATAAAGTCTTCCAGACTACGGGGAAGTTTTTTAGCCGCAGCAGATGAACATAGATGAAAACTGTGACAAACACAACCCATCACAAAAATATTAGGTAGAATGCTCTTAAAAAGGGCCTTCACTCCACCAATATTCCCCATCATTACCGATGCATTATCTGCCGCGAAACCAGTGAGATTATTATATGGTATTTTCATTTTTGTTAACTCGGCACAAATTGAATTAAATAATGCTTGGGCAGTGCAGTCCTTGACTCTTAGTAAGCCTAAAAAGGCATCTTTACAACGATCCTTTAAATGATCATAATATCGGGCTATCATTACTAGAGACTTTTGTGTACTGACATCCGTTGTTTCATCAATTATTAATGAGAAGGGTTGTGTTTGAAGGATCTTGGAAATATTTGATAACTGTTCTTGTGCCAAACAGTCTTTTGTCATCTTTGTTGACTTGGTACGGCTACATTTTAATCCCTTAGCAACTTCCGAATCTGGAAAAATATTGGCTAAGAGCAAAATTAAATGATCCATTAGCAGAAATGGCAAATTGTGTTCATGTAAAAACCCAACAAGTTTTAACTCCGCCCTTTTAATGGATTTTTCAATTTTTGTATCTGGCATTTTGCAGTATTCAATAATTTTTGGCGTGGTTTGAGCCTTTTGCAGATTTGTTTTATGTTGACTAGTATTTTGGTGCCTTTCAAAATGCGTTGTACCACCCTTTAAAACATTATTGCACACTTTACAATATATATTACCATTTTCATGCACATCAATCCATTTAAACTGTTTTTTCCAATCAGTCTTGAATTTTTGTTTGTATGCTTTTTTCTTTTTTGTCTTCGGCTCATACTCGGAGTCACTCGACTCAAGGGTATCTATTAATTTAAAGCCCTTAGACTGACCACTGTCATATGCAGCAGAACTTGTACTTGGTGTGGGAATAATGTTCTGTTTTACTGATGGTTTTTCAGATACTAGTCCTTTATTTTCATCATTATTATTTGGTATCTTTATTAGAAACCTAAAATATTATCAGACATCAAATATTATTATAAGAAAATTTAGTGCATCCACCATCCTGTCCAGAATAAAATAGTAAGGATTCTTAGAAAAAATGCTCAATAAAACGAAAAAAAAAAAATATTGAAAGGTCTCGGTATAACCAGATGATCACTTTGGAAAAAAAAGTAATTTATCATAAACTTATTAAAAAAATAGCCTAGTATTTTAGAATAGATGTAAATTTTACTTACTTATCCATTGTCCATAAATGTTAATAAGCAGCGAATAATATTAAAATTTGAATCTTTTGCAAATAAGAAAGGCACAACCTTCGATCTACACGTGATTTAGTGAAACGAAATCCAATGTTTTCTAGCTTAAAATTGACTTCTTTTAGTGGTAAATTACCTCTAGAAAAATAAATGTCGGTATCCGTATTTATTTATAAACAGAAACAGAACTCGGAGCTGAACTAAAATTGAACTTCGGTTAACCTTCTCTAAAGTTTCAGGTGGTTCCGGTGTTACGCTGGAATTTAGAGATGGATAGTAACAAATCTGTAACTGTTAAGTACATTTACGGATTTGTTTCTACTCATCTCTAAATTCACGCGATATAACGGAACTTCGATTTTCGTTCAAGGACGACTCAGCTGAGTTCTGTTTATAAATACGGATCATAATGGTAGGTTTGGCGTTTTAATTTTAGACAAAGAGCAATATCACACCTTCACTGGTGGTAAGTTGTGGCAATATTGTAAATTTAGAGAAAAGTAAAAAATAGTAATAGATTTGATGAGTAACGTAACAACGTAATAGAATGGTTCAAATAGTAATAGATCTATTACAATTGTAATAGACTGGCAACGCTGGTCTAGATAAATCCAGAAATCTGTCACTTAAAATTCCAAAAACCAGTAATACCAACATACCTCAGTGACAGATAGGTGTCCCATCAGCGCCCACTATTACGACATAAATTCTTGACAGAGAGGGCTAAAATAAGCAAACAAAGCCTCTAAAACGAAATAAACAGCCTAACTAAACTCAAATAGAGGTCCTAACTACCCCCAAACTGATCATATACTCGCACGTAACATCAAAGCGGAAATGCTAGACCGACATCTTAAATACAGGGCAGCCACATGCTCCCCAGAGTGTCACAGAATGACCGCTCTGTCCGAATACCGAACCAAAAGCACAGTGGTTAAAAATGCGGGTATAGAAGGACCCATCAAATAATTATTAAAACACGGACAAAACTAGTATATTCTTATTTTTATGAAAAACCGCTATAAGGCCAAATTTAAACGTTACAACATACACATATACATACACATACACATACACATACACATACACATACACATACACATACACATACACATACACATACACATACACATACACATACACATACACATACACATACACATACACATACACATACACATACACATACACATACACATACACATACACATACACATACACATACACATACATATACACATACACATACACATACACATACACATACACATACACATACACATACATATACACATACACATACACATACACATACACATACACATACACATACACATACACATACACATACACATACACATACACATACACATACACATACACATACACATACACATACACATACACATACACATACACATACACATACACATACACATACACATACACATACACATACACATACACATACACATACACATACACATACACATACACATACACACATACACATACACATACACATACACATACACATACACATACACATACACATACACATACACATACACATACACATACACATACACATACACATACACATACACATACACATACACATACACATACACATACACATACACATACACATACACATACACATACACATACACATACACATACACATACACATACACATACACATACACATACACATACACATACACATACACATACACATACACATACACATACACATACACATACACATACACATACACATACACATACACATACACATACACATACACATACACATACACGTACACATACACATACACATACACATACACATACACATACACATACACATACACATACACATACACATACACGTACACATACACATACACATACACATACACATACACGTACACATACACAGTACACATACACGTACACATACACGTACACATACACATACACCTACACGTACACATACACGTACACGTACACGTACACGTACACATACACGTACACAGTACACAGTACACGTTACACGTACACGTACACGTACACGTACAACGTACACGTACACGTACACGTACACGTACACGTACACGTACACGTACACGTACACGTACACGTACACGTACACGTACACGTACACGTACACGTACACGTACACGTACACGTACACGTACACGTACACGTACACGTACACGTACACGTACACGTACACGTACACGTACACGTACACGTACACGTACACGTACACGTACACGTACACGTACACGTACACGTACACGTACACGTACACGTACACGTACACGTACACGTACACGTACACGTACACGTACACGTACACGTACACGTACACGTACACGTACGTACACGTACACGTACACGTACACGTACACGTACACGTACACGTACACGTACACGTACACGTACACGTACACGTACACGTACACGTACACGTACACGTACACGTACACGTACACGTACACGTACACGTACACGTACACGTACACGTACACGTACACGTACACGTACACGTACACGTACACGTACACGTACACGTACACGTACACGTACACGTACACGTACACGTACACGTACACGTACACGTACACGTACACGTACACGTACACGTACACGTACACGTACACGTACACGTACACGTACACGTACACGTACACGTACACGTACACGTACACGTACACGTACACGTACACGTACACGTACACGTACACGTACACGTACACGTACACGTACACGTACACGTACACGTACACGTACACGTACACGTACACGTACACGTACACGTACACACGTACACGTACACGTACACGTACACGTACACGTACACGTACACGTACACGTACACGTACACGTACACGTACACGTACACGTACACGTACACGTACACGTACACGTACACGTACACGTACACGTACACGTACACGTACACGTACACGTACACGTACACGTACACGTACACGTACACGTACACGTACACGTACACGTACACGTAC